GTCTGAATATCGCGCAAGTAAGCCATTGAATAGCATCAGCGTTGTATAAAGCACAATTGTCATATTTTGTTTGTGACAACTATCTACGCCATGTATATTACGGGTTCATCAAGGGTGAGGGCTCAAAGTGTGGTTGGCATCAGGGCCTGGATGCCTAATAGGCGGTCAAATCGCCTTGACCGGTTGCTGCAGCACCATGCCCTCTAGTTAGGGATCTGCAAATCTGGGGCAAAACTGTCTGTGTGTAGATAGAGCTGCAAGACAACGCTAGTTGCTATGCAATATTACCTTTGGTACAAGTCTAGCCTCGCCACTCGCTGTGAGACAGTATTATGCCAATGCCCTGATATCGTCCTATCGAACTCCCCATATGATCAAAACATCACGCAGCTAGCGGCGACGACTCGCTCCTCCCGTGCAAAATACTAGTAAGGTGTTTCTATGATGGTTGCCCGACATGATGGAAGAGATAGGTCTCATTTCAGTCCTCCATCTTTGAGTGCCGGTCATTGGCGGCAATCTCAAAGACACGCAAACCTGAAGCTGGTGGTTTATCTAGCTGCAAATCCTTCTTACTTCCTGCGTCTGTGTCTGGATTGGACAGGTCCAATGAACTCTGAAGTACCAGGGCCTGGATATAAATTGTACCTTCGTTGATAATTCGTCTGTGTCTTTTCCAAATCAATGGGCTATGCAGTCTGAATGCTCGATTAACGGCGAGATTATCTTGGGAGAGAAGGGCATTCGGGGAGAGATCTGCTTCTAGGTGTGGGAGGGTGGTGTTGCGATAATAATATAAGCAATTGGTTTTCTGCACAGTTCAAACAACAGTTTGTGGCCTACCCTTATTGGGCGGCTCGGGAAATCCAGTGTCTCTGCGCTGGCAATGGATTTCTATTGATTTGAGCGCAGAGGCCGCCGGCCGGAGCTGTGGTGGTTTCGTCGCTTCTATATATGTACGTGTCACTCGAGCCCGGCTACGAAACGAAGCATCGTATCAAGACAGAAGTCATACGATAATTAAAACACGAGTCATCTCTGGATAGGACAAAAGGGCAAGCAATATAAGGGGAGATAGTTTCCGGTGTAGGTTTATAACATGACACTCAAATATGGGCTGGAGTGAAGCGTCGGGTGAATTTTGCAATTAAAGTCACCATCAGAATCTGGGACCTCGCTAATCACATATGCTTCTCATCGGCCTATAGCTTGTAATCCCTACTCTGCGAAATGACTGGCTGAAGACTTGGCAGTCGACGATAACAATGAAAGGCAGCCTTACCCGTCGAACTAATGTTTGTCGCCACCTACAACTCCTCCAATATTAGTGTCGAGAGTCCTTGCGGGACTAACACATCCCAGCGACAGGGACTTGGCAATAGAAGACAGTTCAGACGGCTGGAACATAGAGCATAAACGCCGAGTTCCGTCAAAATTCTTAGTTGGATAGTCACGAGACGATCGAAGTACTGCTTGCCAGCAGCCCTAGCACGCCAGGTTCCGAATTACTTCGGGTCATAGGATCAAGGCTTGCGGATATTGTGACAGAAAACGCATCGCCGATTGATCTGGGCATGCAGGACGATCTCTTGGCGAGATTCTACCACGGGACTTTCGGCATACCCGAGAGTTTGGAGCGCCTAGCAAGGACTGTCGGGCAGATTTTGCACCGTCACCCACGTATTCGCTGCCTCGAAAATCGGCGCAGGTACAGGAGCAGCAATAAGAGCAACATTGCGCGAGAATGGATGCCTATTTTCTGAGTACACCTTTACCGACATCTCTTCTGGTTTCTTTGCCTCGGCTCAGGATAGTCTTAGGAAGCATGCTAATGGCATGGTATTTAGACGTCTTGATATAAGCAAAGATGTTTGTTCTCAGGGCTTCGAATCGCACTCGTACGACTGGATTATTGCTTCGGTACTAGTCGCCATTAAAATACAAAAAAACTCAGCAGCATATATCGGTGCTATATTTGGTGCGTTTTCTGGTTGGTGGCTAGGTGCCAACGATAGACGTTTGTTATCGCCTTGCATCGATATCGCGGAGTGGGACGACCTCTTAAAACAGACCGGCTTCTCTGGTTGCGATAGTTTTGCATTCGAGCCAGATCCTTTGGTACATCCTGCTAACATCTTCGTATCGCAGGCCGTGGATGAGAGGATAATGTTTCTGCGGAACCCATTTGTCGCCGCACCGTCTTCTGGCATCGTCATCTCAAAATTGGTTTTGCTTGGCGGGGAGAATGATGAAAATGGCTCACTCGTGACTCGTGCCTCAGCTGACTTCCCTACTTCAACCGTACTGCGCGAGCAATGCAAACTACCGGGAGCTGAATGAAACTTAAACTCTGGGCATTGACTCGGAGACATTTGTTGTCAGTCTTGTGGATCTCGATCAACCACTCTTCCAACAGCTCACTGAAGCTGCTTGGGAGTCCCTAAAGGAAATGCTGCAACGAGTTGGAAGTCTTGTATGGGTGACTCGAGGCCGGCGTGCGAAGAAGCCTCACTCCAACATGTTGGTCGGAATCATGCGGTCCGTATTGAATGAGATTCCCGACATGGCTACACAGTTCCTAGATTTCGAACATGAGAGGCAATTGGATGTAAAGATTTTGGGTAGCGCTGTGCTACAGTTTGCTAGAGCGGTCAAACTGAAGCAAGACGACACTTTCGTGGACATGTTGCATACAATTGAGCCAGAGCTGAGTGTCCAGAAGGATGTCACGATGGCTACCTCGTCTGAAAACGGAGGCAGCAATGAACGACCGGTACAATGCATCCCGCCGCCGTGTTTCGACAATAATCCCAACTGCCCAAGAATCCATTAGTCTTGGGCCCGCTAAGCTTGGTTACTACGTCCGTCGAGATCGCACCGGTACATTGAGAAGTGTCAAAAACACATCGAGCCCAGTTGTACGAGTTCCTCACTCACTTTTGACGCCTATGCGTCTACATGGACATTTTTCGCTATTCTGGTCCCTCGGAATACGCATCAATACTCTGGCCCCTGTAATTGCCTTGTCGCCATTAAACGAGGAGGTGGTTTGTCTAGAGATCTGGATCCCAGTCCCTGTTGATACTTGGGGATTTTGAAGACGGGGACAGGGTTTTACTTCAACATGCGGAGCCTGCGCTTGCCAAAGTGATGCAAGCAGAAGGGCAGAGGAGAAGTGTCGAAGTTGTATGCACCACAACTCATAATTGTACATCAAGCGAGCGGCTCATACTACACCCCAACGCCTCAGAGAGGAGCATGAAAGCTTTACTACCTGAGTCAATCGCCGTTTTCGCAGATTTTGGAGTCACCGGGGAGAGTAGTCGTGTTTCGCAGCAGATTCGCCGTCATCTGAATGCTACAGGCAGACGAGAAACCATCCAAACCATCTTTGGCGGACTCGCAAGGAAACTCACAGAAAAGACGAAAGAAAAATTTCAAATTATGCTGGAGGATTCCGTTGCCAGTGCCGTGTGTGGCCTTGTACCAACCATTCAGGTGACAAACGCGGCAAATGTCATCGGGCTCGCAAATATCGATATCATCAAAGGCCATCTTGCGTACCAATACATTGTCGACTGGACAATAGGGGACCGAGTGCCTGCTTTGGTGGAGCCAATTGATACTCATCCGTTATTCTCTTCCGACGAGACATACTGGCTCGTTGGCCCGGCCGGATCCTTGGGTCTTTCGCTCTGCGAATGGATGATGCGCAAGGGTGCCCGTCACATTGCTATCTCTAGTCGAAACCCCAAAGTTGAGTCAGACTGGTTCAAGATGGCGGATTCCGTGGGGGTCGTTGTTAAAGTGACTTCATGGGGCGTTTACTCTTTTATTTTTCTCGCTACACGAAATGGCCGAACTAAAAGTGACGTAGTGATATCATTTATATGCAGGAATTACAAACAACATACGAAGAGATACGTTCCAACATGCCTCCTATTGCAGGAGTATGTCAAGGTGCTAGTAAGATCGAACCATGCCCGCTTTGAGAAATTCACCAGCTAATAATAAGCAGTGGTATTTCATGATATTCAGTTGTCAGCGATGAGCATTCATCACCTTAAAGGTTGAGGCTTAATAAACTAGCCTTACACGGTTATAAGCATTGTTTTTATGCTGCCACGCTGACCGGCCTCTCACAAGAAGAATTGTGCTTGGTGCGACCAGACCCCAATCAGGCTCATGTCTCCGCAGATGTTCGGAGAAGCGGCGATGAGAGCTCAATATACAGCCTAGTATGCTGTCAGCGTGCCAATTCGCAACCAACAACACAGCCTGCCTCAATCAAGGCTGTACGAGTAATATTAGCAGGAATAAATTGCCAGGAAGCGATATACAATAATAATATCTTATATATATATGCGCATCGTACCACCTACAGATCAGTGTTTATATTGTACTTTATCGTATTATCAATATCGTATTATTAATATTGCGTCGGTCTCCGTCCTACCCAGGTCCGCCCCCAAGTCAATCCTTCACGAATTACCAACCAACGGCCAGCCGGCTTACCAACACTACTTATCCGGGTCAAGGGAAAGGCAAAGCTTACAAGCCATTACATGGTGCGGACCACGCCCTAACTTTACCGCAAAGATACTACCGCGGAATAAATATTATTAATAAATTATTAAATATTATATTTAAAAATAATATTTATATATTTCTCTAATATAAATTCTAAAGTAGCTAGCAAATTATAGGAGTGTATTAGACACAAGTATTATCCTCTCAATAGCGGCCTTTTGGTTATCATTTAATACCATAGCCTCACATTTACACTCATAATAAATCACACTATACAGTCACATCCGAGGGTGGAAGGGCCACCTGAATTCAAGAGCATATACGGAAAGCAAATGAGGCGTGTTGGTCTGATGACACTTCACATCGCCACCTTTACCACCAATTCGCAAGTCACCACTAGTAGACGAGATAGGATACGCCAAGGCCGCCGACTGGGCCAGTGACACTACTCCCCGTTGCATTCTTTTTTTTTACCATGGCGATGCTCTTACTTCCACGTCCTGTTGCACTCTGATGGCGTCATTCGTGCTCTGACGATGTGGCGACTGACCCTGCATCTCCCATCCAGTCACCTCGACCGAGTAGTGGCCATGCTGCTGTGACGGCAAACATATCCTGCTTTGACTCTCGTTGGTGGCGCTGGCGTTGAGCTCAGAGTCATTGACGTACTTTGACTTGGAGGATGCCATGCGCGAGGAAACGGCGTTGTCGTACTGCTCGGTCATGAGAGTTCCTCGGCTTTGGCTCGACCACGCCAACGAGATCTTGCTTGCCAAAGGCTTGAAGTATAGAGCGTCCAAGAACCGGGACAGAGATAATATGGCCGGAATACAGATACTGATAAGGATCGCCGGCGTCTCGATGGTGAACCAGTAGAAGGTCGGCGCAGCCTCATCTGTTTGCGAATTAGAGTGGAAATGGCAAAGCACGGCCTGTAATGCAAAGGCTCACAAGTAATGTCGCGAGTGATGTCATCTCCCATCTTGATGACGGTAACCAGTCGACCCAGGGATACGACGATGGAGCTGCGGCGATTTAGTTTCCAATGGTCCGGTTGAGAATGTTCAACAGACAGAATGCTTACCAGTAACCGAGCGTGAAGATGCCAATGACAGCCATCTTCCTCCAGGGCGTCATCTTCAAACCCCATATTTTCGGCATGGGAATCAGCAAAATGGCAAGATCGATGACGACACTGGGAATGGCACTGCCCATGAACAGCACTGACGCATCGGTGCATTTCCCAGGAAGCATTGGGTGCCAGTTCCTGAGCGACTTGCACTGGAAGATGGTGCCCAACACAATGCCAATAAACCAGGCAGCGTTGGCGGCGTGGGTGATGATGACGGCATTGTTGAACCATGGCGGCGACACGTTGGGAGGAAAGATGCGGGCGAGGAAAAACAGGGCGGATGCCTTGGCCATGGCGAGATGTATGTCGTAGATGAAGTAGACGGCGAAAAGCATGCGCAGAATCTTGACGACGTTCTCGGGCGGCACGACCCAAATGTGCTTTCCGGATCCCAAGTCGAACATGACCAAGCTCATGACGAGCTGCACCAACATGAATATCTGATGACCAGTTAGTCGCGGGTCAGCAAACGTCACGCGACGGCCTGGGCCAAATCCAAAACCTACCGTGGATACTAAAGCTGTCCAATCATCCCACCAAAGACTTTTGAAATGCCCAGGCGAGCTCTCTGCGATGAGTCGCGAGGCAAAGCGAAGTGCCATCATGACCGAGATGACGACAATCATGGCAATGCAGAGAGCCACCAAGGGAGGAGAGCGGTCATCGAAGGAGCCCGGGGGCAACTCAGTGCCATCTGTTGGTGACGACATGGCTTGTTCAATTCGAGGATGGTATACGAAGCACCAAAAAAATGAATATTGAAGCGGCGCGGCTGCGTCTTCTCAAAGCGTCTTGACAGTTGCGGTTTGGGTGGCTAGGAGTTGAAGGTGTGGCGAATCTTGAGCGACCAGAGTTAAATTCGGTAGAGGACGGCTCCCTTGGTCGCGGAGTCTCTGTTGTCTGGTACTTGAGGGTGCCGTCGACGAGGCATGCATCGATATCACCGCAGCCTCATGCCTGTTCGATGCAGGTATACAAAGACGGGCTGGGCCGAGGGCAGGTACTCCATTGGGGGCTGTCCCGAACTAGCATTAGCCGAAATCCAAACCTTCTACTGTACTATGCATCTAGAGTATATCTGACCACTTTGTGCTATGGTCATCCGAGCCCGATGCGATGCAGTAGACGGGTAAGGCCCGGCTATTAGGGTCTCGAACTTGCTGCATCTTGTTGGTGTAGACCTGAGTCCACGTATTAGCGGCCATCTGATCAACGGTCCAAACCAGCATTTGCCAGTCACCTTGCCCATTTCCAAAGGGTTCAGGGTCAACATCTTCGAGGGAATCAAATCGACCATGATGGCCATTGTAGCGCAAGGCAGAGGCCTCGTTTCCATTGTTGAAGTGCCCAAGCTAGTTGTCCCAGGCGCCGGATGGATCCTCGGCAAGGTCGAGGCCATTACTGTTAACCTTACCGACTGGAAGCACATCGATTATAAATGGACCAACGCTGGCTACCGTGTAGGCTGCGACTACTCGGGAGTCGTTGAAGAGGCGGATAGCAAGTTAGCCCAATTTACAAAGGGGTTTTCCGTAGCAGTGGACTACCAGGTCACGGGTCTGCCATCAGAATGACAAGATGAAGACGTTTCAAAAATTTATTCTAAACTAGTGGTGGTATTTTGGTTTCTCTGGAACCGAATGGATCTATCGAATCGCTGCCCGCCGGTATGTTGTCCATCACAGATAAGCCGAAATGAATTTAATGTACACACATCAGGCTGGTCCACAACCTGACTTGTCGCCCGTGACATCCAATGTCTAACCTCATGTCAAAGGTTGCGTCAAAAGCCCAAACTAATCTTCTTCTCGGTGCCACTTAATATCCTCTACTTTGTTCCTCACGCAGGCGAAGCGAACCCGAGGCGACGATTACCAACGTCATATACAACAAAGGCTGCTTGAAGGGCGGGAGTTCCAAAAATTGTTGTTTTGCCGCGTTGAATTGCAGAAAGGCAAAACCCGTTCTGAGGTAGACCAGTGGGACCAAGGTCTAGGTACTTTCCGGGAATAGTGATGACGGTGTTCTCAACGTTGAATGAGAAGTCGGGCAGCGGGTTGCCACATTTAAACACGTATTGAAAATTGCCACCGCCAGTACTGGTTGGCACCTTCCTGTAATAGGCCCTCGCAACATTTTCAGGAACAAATATCCCAGATGTGCCCGTGTCAGCTACGGCTTGAAGTTCTTCCACCTGAACTGGGTCATCCCCAATTTTGTACCCAGTGCTGTTGAACATCCAGTGTTGATCGTGAGTGACGGGCGTATACGTGATGCTTCCAGTGTATTTAGTGTTGTCGATGAACCCAAAATCAAGAGAACCTCCTAATTGCTTCAGTTAGCCATGTCACATGCAGCATGGAAGGGTATAATGTGTCGTACCGCCGTTAAACTTGAAGTGGGACGTAAATAACGGCTGGTCCAAAGACTTAATGTGAGTACTGGACCATGTTTTCACATGCTCTCCCGCTTGGTTAACACCAGTCTGGTCGGGACGAAACTCCAGTCCGAAGATGCCAGAAATTTTCGGATCAACCTTATAATCGGTCCGAGAAGCCGATTCGATAGCCTGATTAGGAAAAGGTACACCCCCGAGTGTCACAACGTCCTCGTAGATGTTGGTACCGTCGGCATAACCTGTTCCGTACGTAATCTTCCACGTGTATCCAGTAAGATTACGGGCAGTCGTGCTCTTCGGTATATCCCACAGCTTATGATTGTTCCAGCTCGATTCAGTATCCGTACTGTACACCCAAAAGTCGGTGGAACCAGTATCAGGCACAAGAGGCAACTTCTGGGGTGGAGTACCAAGTTCGACTTCGACCACAAACTCATTCACCTTGCCCGGAATTGGCTCAGCAGCAAGAGAGAAAGTCGACGCAGCCACCTCTACAGCACTGAGGCTTATGGATGCAAAAGCAAGTGTTTTGAGCGAAGGCATGTCGATCAGTGGTTGAGTCGAGCTAGGAGGTGTTTGTTGTAGGAATTACTTTCAAAGAGTTTTTGAAAAGGTGCTAGCAGAGGCAGCTCTTCTTATATGATGGATGATTTGTGACTGGACTGTTGTGTACAGTTCCAGCTTAAGCAGCCGGTTAAGCCATCTTTATAGAGATAGCGATGCCCAAGTAAGCCTCCTCACAGGCCTGCAAAGGTAATACGCATGAATCCGAGCATTGAATGTAATTTCCGTCTTGAAACTTTGCTCGTATTAGTCGAATGAGAATACTAGGCATATTTTGCTATCTGCAGGACTCGAAAGGTCCGCGATTGGTCGAAGGTGATTGCTGGCCGGGCATATCCAGGTCGGCATATCACGACATAAGCTTAAACTCGGCTGTCCCGGCCGGTGGGAGTACCAGGCATTTATGCATATCGTGCCAAGATAGTTTATGCATATCGCGCCAGGATATAAAACACGCAGTGTCGGGCTCAGAAGTGCCGGGACAACGGTTCAAGACCTTTCAGGAAGGTGTCAAAGACGCATATGAAGCTAAGCGTGGCTTGCACGTGGGCGGTGCACCTTGACTTTACTAGCACTATATTTAGAGGAAATGCTCTACGGAGTCATCAGCGTACTTTTACCCCCAGACCTTGACTCGTGTCACATCCCACCTTTTTGTTTCTCGCGTACAACTTATCCGGCATTTTCCCATGGCTATATTCGGGCTAGAGCAACTTGGACTTCTTTCTGCTCCAGAGGGAACGGACGACGAGTTGCGCTTGCGATTATGCCTAATTGGGCTTAGAATAGACCAGGTTTTCTTGACGTGATTGAAGAGACATCGATAGTAAGAAAGCTGGCTACACCGCCTTTGTTGCGAAGTCAATACCTATAGGTTTTTAGGTCAGAAAGGCATGGACAGGGGAAAAAGTCATGCCGGCAAAGCCATTCCCGTTTCCAATGCACCATCAGCTGTTTGTTCAGGAATACGTGTCATAGGCAGCGTGTGTGGCATGCTTTGCTATGGGACTATTGCCAATACCGGACCGAAACCACCGTCTACAAGACCATTCGACTCAGCCACGAGACGTAATGCTGCTAGTAGTAGCATCAATGCGGGAGACTTTGCACGCTAGGTTCATGTTGACCAGCTTCCTTATTCGGATCAGCGTGAACCGCCGACAAGCCTGACTTGAAAATATTCCATGTTCCCTCAATTGATCACGACATCAATAGATGAGCCAAGGCTCTGCAGACTATCAGGGTCGCATGGCTATGCTATCGAGGCTGACTCGCGCAATGGTAATAAATCTCGGCTGTCGTTGCCATGTAAATTAAGGCCATGGGGAATTCACGGGAACTGCACGGGATGAAACGTTCCAGATAAACTCCGCAATCGTTCGGTGTGGCGTTACGGACCCTGCTCGACAGGGCATCGATCCTTGAGTGAGTGCCGGCTGATTCATCGATTGGACATGCAATAAAGACTGCTTCGGCCCCAGGTCTGCTCATGGTCGGCCGCGTAGCATGATTTCGCTCAAGAAGCGACTACAGGGGTATTCATTCGTTCTCATCGCGCTGTTCCCAGTCGTAATTAGCCCACTGAGCGGCGGCTAGTCCTCCGCGTATTGCCCCAGGTGCCGCCTTGTTTCAACTATCTGCACCCAGGTGCCAAGCTATTAGATGTCCATGTCAACATTGAACGTCTGTAGGGCGTAGTGGGGACGTCTGGTCGGTTTTTTTTTCGGGCGCCTTAATTTGGATGGCTTGGTGGTTCATGTTGCCGTCTGGTGCATTATCCTTTCACCTTCGTTCTGATGTTGGACCCCCAACTTGCCCTGCAGCAAAATCAGACAGATTGACAAAAATATACTCTGCCAGTCAGGCATCTTTGGACCACCAGACCTAACTGTTGATCAAAAATCCTGGAACCCCACAAATTCTGCCAATAAGATCAATTGATTATTTATGTACTCCCAGCTACTACTAGACCCTATTATAGGGTGGGTGTAGTTTCAATATTGGAGCGTGATTCCCGGAATTAGGGTCAAAAGATTGAGTTTAACTTTTCGACCCTAGTCACTATATTCTCCACGCATTTAAGATAGGGATATTACTTTATACTTTTCCGCAGCTATTTTGAGGCTTTTTGGGGCCTTTCCAGGCTTTTTAGGGCTTTTAAGCTTTTCTAGTATTACAACCCAGTTACAAGCTGTAGTGTAGGTTATAGGTTAAGCCAGCTATATAAGCTATAAAATAATATAAGTATAATAAGTAATAAATTAATAATTAAAATAAGTTATTAATAAGAAAAAGTTTATTAATTATTTAATAAA